AAGAGGGATTGAAGAGGGACCCAGGAGGGATTTCAGTGCTTCCTCTTGATGACCTTGTCCTAAGATGTGGAATGAGTACTGACTGACTGATGAGGTTACCCAACATGGAAAATTGGTACAAATAAATGTTAACCTGCCCGGCTGTCACATTTAACCTTATTTATGTGCAGGCCATACACAGCGCAAATTTCACACACAGATGCACACAGGTTAATCTTGGGTCACAAAAGTAGGAAATAAAAGTGGCTCAGAGAAGTGGCTTGTGCTTTCAGAAGAGCACTTGACTGTGTTCACTGCATAGTAATGTACATGTTATGGTAGTGTTCCAGGAAAATGAATGTTAACATTCATGTACTGTAGCTACGTTTGTCCCTGGCCTGGTCTGATGGACAACAGAAGGCGGGCCAGAGACTCAGGGCTTTGCACAGACACCAGTAAACCTTGTGCTGAGGGAGTTATATGACTGTGGGGCCCTTTGTAGTTCTGTGTAACATAGGTGACAGAAAGTTACGTGTGACCTTTGCAGTGTTTGCATTAAACAACGATACACTTCATGCACCTGTACTTATGATTTTCTGCATCCATATATGGCCACCACTCTTCTACCTCAATACGTCATGTAGTAATTAATGGCTCAAGTTGGCTTGCCTTGCTATAGCTAGGCTTTACCCAGTATATCATTTACGTATGTACTTGAAGTCATTGGAAAGTACATGTATTTGTTAGGGTGTACTCGCAGTACAGTACTTCAGCCAGCAATGTTACACATCTACTGCCAGTACTGGTAGTTATAGCAGGTAGGCAAGTACAGTGTATTTATGAATGATCCAGATGAAGTCACCATGCCACATAAGGTTCACACCTGGTAGTTTGGGCAGTTAACGGTAACATGAGTGTATATCTTAGGCCATGTGTTATGTTTTTTTACATTCAAAATTCAATTGAGCTGCAGCATTTGTCAGATGATACAGTACAGGCTCTAGATTATGTCTGCCTACATTAGTTGTGTTTTGTTATGGATATTGATAAGTTGACATACAAAATATGTAGGTTCAGAGATCTAACATGATAAAGAAAGCCCCAGTTTTTGGGGGGTGGGAGGGGGCAAATCAATTGTGTACCGACACTGCTGCTTTTACATAATTAATGGTTCAGCTGTAGTGATTTGCAACTGAATGGACTGCACCTGTCCAGTGAGGGGTTGGTTGGAGCTGCACCTGTCTGTGTGTGTGTGTGTGTGTGTGTGTGTGTGTGTGTGTGTGTGTGTGTGTGTAGGGATATAAGTTATAACATCTTTAGAAAAGAAGATAACTTATCCAAATAATAGAGGAGAAGAGAAATAAAATATCCCTTCCCATATTACATTTATGTCTCTTTTTTATGTCTTGTCAAAATACTGTTTGATGTGCAGCTTGTTCAGATTCAGAATCCCTGTAAATTCTATTTGATGTCTATTGGACCAATGAGAATTGTGCACCGCCTGCTCTCTACATAAAAGCCCACGATGCACTGAGTGAAGCTGAAGTGCCTGTGCTCAACTGTGCATGGCTGAATTAATCGAGATTCTGTTTTGCAAGTCAGGGCACGTTTGGTTCTGTTGGTTTGAGATGGTTGAAGAACCTTGTTACAGTCAGAACCCAAATTTGATTTGTAAAGAAATCTGTTTGATAGAATTCTTCATTAGTCCCTGTATTGTAAGTGTCTTAAGTAATTGCCCGCTCCAGCACTTTAGATCAACTGATGGGTATTATTACGTAGCAATGATTTAGTCTAATTTTCTCTTGACTTACAGAAAGTGCATCCTCAGTGATAGCTATAGGTTTAGCATCAGACATACAATATTCTACCATGTGAACACCAATAATAGTAAATTTTAGGCCACACCAATTTAATTTGTTGGTTCTCGGATTTTTTCAGAAAAAATATGAAGCGACAGGGCGAAAAAAATAAAAAATAAAAACAGGTCTAGGCATCCTATTATAGGCTTAAATGCTACAAAATGAGCCATGAAGTCAACACAAAAGGCTGGGTTAAAATTTAAACATTGAATTTTGAACTTTTAAACAAACCACTGCAATGATAGATGGGAAAACTGTAACAACTAGGAAGAAAAGGACTTTCCTCAACTGTTGGGGGCAAAACATGAGCATTTTTCATTTGATTGAGGACCAGAATCAATTTTTTTTTTTTTTTGCAAATCAGAAAAAAACGAAGAGGCGAATCCGAGAACCAACAAATTAAATTGGTGTGGCCTTAGTACAAAATACAGATAGTCTCCATGGCTGGTGGCTATTCTTGTATTGATCTTTATTTCCTGCCCAGACTGAATGGAGCACATATGTATATCATGAGGGATAAATGACATCTATATGGTCTGTAATCGTGCCAGTGACCTTGCTTTGTGATTAGCCTACAAGGGCAAGAGCACAGCTTACAGTTCTCAACATAAATCACCTGCGCAAAACCTCTGTGCCTGGAGTTCAATCAATGTACGTCTGCACAAATGATAACTTTCTGGACAGGTTGATTCCTTTTCGGGGAAGCAATCTAAGGGTTGATTCCAGTTCTTAGTGTTCAAGGCAAGAAAATAGGTCTTCATATTTTGTATAAGATTATGAATGGACGTGAGGAACTGGTATGCCAGAAGCAACCTTAACACACAGAGCTATTGTACAGATGTGCATATCCTTAACTGCACATGTATAATTTTGTCGCCTATAGAGTAAGAGCTAGAGAGGATAATACACGTATTCAGTCATTGCAGCTAGTGCCAACAGATAGTCAGATATTCTTTCCATGTCATTGACCGCTGATTGAATTTGAAGCACCAAACATCAGAACGGAAACTGCTGTTAGAAGCATGAAAAGAAATCCTTTGGATTTCCTTTGTCCCTGGTGGTAGGAATAACACTAAATCCACCAAAGGCACCAGTAACCAAGGCAATAAAAGACAGAGACCAGTAACTCTATATTTTGAAAAATAGATGTTTTGGGGG